TTGGGTATCAGCCAGCACGTCAATGACTTAAATCAAGAAATAGTTTTCTAAGATCTACAGAGACACTCGCTGGAACACCCCAGCAAGCGAGAGTCCAAAAGTGGCAGGCCCAAACCCAGCACCTCAATTCATGGGTGATACCAGATGAGAGACTCCCCCCTGGGCACTCAGAAGACTGGGCGACTTGGAAGGCACTGAACAGACTGCGCTCTGGCACCACGAGATGCAGAGCCAATCTTAAGAAATGGGGCTACAGGGTGGAATCCTCGGCATGCGAGTGCGGAGAAGAACAAACCACTGACCACCTGCTGCAATGCAACCTGAGCCCTGCCACATGCACAATGGAGGACCTTCTTGCGGCAACCCCAGAGGCACTCCAAGTGGCCAGATACTGGTCAAAGGACATTTAACCAAATACCAAATTTGCAAAATCTGTGTGTTTTTTTTTCCTTTTTCTTTTAAATCTGTGTGTTTGTTTTGCTCTGTTAGAATTGTGATACAATGGTTGCTGATGACACGATAAATAAATAGTGAAATGGTGTTCCTTATATTAAATAGTAAAAATCAAGGTTTACTTTTTTGGATTTTAAAAATAGGCGTCTTCTGAAAGTAGATGACCATAAGATGCAAATGTCATGTACACTCCCAATTTTGGCAAAGCCATTTAGTCCCAAAAGGCGAGCATTAGATCCGAGTGAAGACAGTACTTGCTCCGTCCAATACTCGCTCCTTACCTTGCACAATCCCCCAGGGATATTGGCGTGCCTTCATCATTTTGTTTCCGATCTTAATTTCCTCTGTACTCCCAATCACAGCAAAAGGTAAATGGGCCTGGGACAAAGCCAGAGGGAAAAAAACGAGCCATTACAACAGAAGTAACATTTTCTCAGATTCTGCAATAGGAGTAGATGGATGTCCCTTCCCTTTTGTGATCCTTTATTTCAGAGTTTCTCAACCCTGGGGGGGAGGGGGGGTCGCCACGAGGGGATGTTAAGAGGGGTCACCAAAGACCATCAGGAAACACTATTTTCTGTTGGTCATGGGGTTCTCTGTGTGGGAAGTTTGGCCCAATTCCATCATTGGTGAAGTTCAGAATGCTCTTTGATTGTAGGTAAACTAGAAATCCCAGCAACTACAACTTCTAAATGTCAAGGTCTATTTTTCCCAAACTCCACCAGTGTTCACATTTGGGCATATTAAGTATTCATGCAAAGTTTGGTCCAGATCCATCATTGTTTGAGTCCATAGTGGTCTCTGGATACAGGTGAACTACAACTCCAAAACCTAAGGTCAATGACCACCAAACCCTTCCAGTATTTTCTGTTGGTCATGGGGGTTCCATATGGGAAGTTTGGCCCAATTATATCCTTGGTGGGGTCCGAATGCTCTTTGATTGCAGGTGAACTATAAATGCCAGCAACTACAACTCCCAAATGTCAAGGTCTATTCTCCCCAAACTCCACCAGTGTTCACATTTGGGCATATTGAGTATTTGTGTTGAAGGCTTTCATGGCCGGAATCACTGGATTGTTGTAGGTTTTTTCGGGCAATTTGGCCATGCTCTAGAGGCATTCTCTCCTGACGTTTTGCCTGCATCTGTGGCAAGCATCCTCAGAGGTATTCGTGCCACGTTTGGTCCAGATCTATCATTGTTTGAGTCCATGGTGCTCTCTGGATGGAGGTGAACTTCAACTCCAAAACTCACGGTCAATGCCCACCAAACCCTTCCAGTGTTTTCTGTTGGTCATGGGAGCTCTGTGTGCCAAGTTTGGTGGAGTTCAGAATGTTCTTTGATTGTAGATGAACTATCAATCCCAGCAACTACAACTCCCAAATGACAAAATCAATCTCCCCCAACTCCACCAGCATTCAAAATTGGACGTATCAGGTATTTGTGCCCAATTTGGTCCAGTGTATCAAAACACATTCTGCATATCAGATATTTCCACTGTGATTCGTAACAGGCGCAAAATTACAGTGGTGAAGGAGCAACAAAAACAATGTTATGGTTGGGGGTCACCACAACATGAGGAACTGTATTCAGGGGTCGTGGCATTAGAAAGGTTGAGAAACATTGCTTTAGTTAATTGTAAACATCCCACAATATTTTTTCCCCCAAATGATGCACATAGTGTCATCGGCAAGCATCGTGTTGCAAAGGTGAAAATAACATATTGCTGCTCTTATTCGGGGAGTTGTGACGCCGAACTTGGCATGGAGAAAGGAACAGAAATAACAGCAAAACCTGGGGTGTTTCTGCTATATGCGCATCAGCACAGTTTCACCGAGAAGGGCTTGCTGGAGCAAAGATTTGTTTCATAACAGATGGAGTTGTATTTTTAAATGCCTCGGGTCCATTCATTTAAAGTAATTTTAAAAATCAAACCATCTATACTGCCATATAATTCAGTTTCTGGATCCAGATTATCTGCTTTGAATTAGATTTTATGGCAGTGTAGACACTGACTCATATAATTCAGTTCAAAGCAGATAATCTGGA